ATTGATTCACTCAGCATTTTGTTCAGTAAATGTCAGCGAAGTGTTGATTGGATATTTCGTCAATTGTTCGAGATAGTACAATCAGGTAATTGCTGAGTCCTATATCTGTTAGATTCCTACCTCATGTTGAGATTGTGTAAATAAGATGATATAAATTTAGAAATGGGTTCTCTATAGCTTTCTGGCTGTTACTACGAGTTGGTGTCATCTGAGTGGTAAAATAGTTGTCATATTTAGTTTTTGTGTTTAAGCTTTTTTGTAAAAAATACTTTTTTTTGAATAGTGAAGACTTTTTAGAGGAAAACAACTAATACCACTTTTCCGCTTATTTAAAATTCAATAATTCCAACGACGTTGAAAAAGTAGCAAGGGAGGTGCGTATTTTAAGACTGGAATTCCAGTTGATTCTTGGGCAAGCGGAATTGTTGGTTTCTTTTGTTTTTTCGCTTGTTCTGCTAATCGTTTGAATAAATTCCAATTTTAACCACCCTTCGAGTTATCATCGCATAGATTTGCAAAGTTACTAGCTTTACCTTGAAGATTGGACTTGATTTTTTCATGGATTGAAACCGCACTATGAGTTCCTTAAAGTTTTGGGTTCAAAAAGGAACTTCTTTTTATGCAGCGATTCGTTTCTTTTCAAAAATTATAATTTTTTGCAGCTGAATTTTTGGACGGGGTTTGTGGCCAATTTTTGTTACCGTTTTGAATGGTGAGTACAGGAAGGTGCTTGACATGTTGTGAATTTTGTTTCTGAGATTGTGAAATGTGCGGATCGAATGTAGCTTTGAAGTTCCAAGTTCAACTTTATTATTTCTTATTTTCTTTACTTTTTAGTGTTCTATTTTGAAGATGATGCGACCGGTTTTAACTAGCGTTAGGACGCTTGGGCGAAACTTAGCTGTGTCTTATTCTGTCCAGAACTCTTCGAATTGTGAAAATATACCTGTTTTTCGGCCACGAGAGCCAAGACGTAAACAGTTGCAAGAAGTCTTTGCGCCATTGCCAGAGAAGAGAAAAGTCCCAGTTGTTGGAGAATTGGAAGAGGTAATATGGTTTTTCCTTTTCTCTTTTCAGTCTAATTTGAGTTGAACATATAATTTTTCTTATAAAGTTTAGTGCTGATTCAGGTGGGAGTATGTGAGATTGTCTTCAAATTATAAACCTTGTTTGTCGCATCTGAGTGTAATAACTGGCTTATGTATGTTCTGACCCTGTTTCATTAAGGCTTTTGTTTAACAGCGAAAATCTAACGTGTCAGTGCTGCTGGCGTGATTAGGTTCTATCGCTGAAAGATTTGGATGCTTATAGTAATGGTCAGAATTAGTCTTTCCATTTGAAATTATATTATATTATACTTCCTTTACTCTGATTCTGCTTTATCGCAAGTTAGTGATAGGGTTTCTGATTGTTACTGCTTTTTTCTTGTTGTAGGATATCTGTTTTGATTTAAGAAAGGTTTCACAATCTTCCTGAGGCAAAAAACAGGTGAGCATTTGAGAAGCAGGGAGGTATTATTTTTCGAAGGCGTACCTCTTAGCTTAATCTGTTTCTTATTTAGACTTTATATTTGACACTTTCGTTTTAATAATTTGATTCTTAGGGATTGTAAGTCGTTTTTAAAAATGTTCACCCACACTAGAAACCTATTAAGAAATGGCAGTTTTTTGAGAGCAGAAAGGATAGACAATTTGTGTAAAGCACATAGCATTGAGGGTACTTTTGAGTGCAAATGACTTCGCTCTATTTTTCGTTGAGCCATGAAATCCGTCTCTTTCAGAATTTGTTTCTCTTCTGATTGCTGACTTTTTTAATCTTTAGTACTATCATCTAAAAGTAATATTAACTGATTATATTGATAGCCGTCATTTTCCCTTAAAACCAAGCAGCGCACATTTCTACCATAACGGCTTACTTCTTTAGACCGTTATTGTGCAGTGAATAATGAAGGCATTTGTGGCAGATTCCTAAGTGATTTTTCTTCCTGTCGCAGTAAAACCCAACATTTCTGCCGAGACTGATTTAATTTTTTGTCGGTATTTTTGAACGAAGTAATCTAGTCTATGCAGAGTTACTAGCTTCTTATTTCTGTTCCTTTTAGCAAACAGGTTTATTGATTTTTTAGTGTGCTTTGATCTTCGACTGTGGAATTTACAGTTCCAGAGGTTTTAATTGATTTTAAGGCTATCGTTACGTTTTTCATCGGTGATGCGTTGAAAAACCGTTATTATGGAATGCTAGACTTCTGCCGTGGGGATGCCAGAAAGTTAAAACTTTCTAGTTTATTTTGAGATTAAATTCTGTTTTATGGCGTGGCAGTATTTGATTCATTCTAGAAATTTTATTCTTAAGAAAGTTTTAACAACGTCGTGATGGAAGTCCTCGAAGTGACACCAGTTTTTATTTGTATGAGTGAATTTAAATTATTTCGGCTGGTATTTTTTTGTTTTAAATCCCAGTTTTATATGCGTATGAGCATATAACTTCATCCTTTCAAATCCGAAGTGGTTACTGGAAACAGTTTTTCCTCATGACGAGCTCATATCTCCGCGTGCATCATTTCAGAAGATTTGATTTGGTTACAGAAGATTTGATTTTCCATAAGCCTTAACCGGTTTGATTGAGTCGTTTTTTTTGAGTTGAAATTTTTTGAATTTCCTAGCTCAGTCTCCGTTTGCTGCTTATCAGTAATTATCTGCTGTAGCATTAGATTTGTCGTTGGTTTTTTTGCGTAGAACCGACTTCATTTTCGACTTTTGAAATGTGTGAGAGGAGCTAATTAAAAACTGAACCGTTTGTAGTGTATAAAGATGTTCATCTGTTGTTATTTATGCCACTTGTACCGAACAGGAAATATTGTAAAATCAGATACTGATTGCCTTTGACTGTAAAGTGAGCATAAGGTTTGATTATTTTGCTCCGCTATGTCATTTTTTCTGAATGAGTTTTTCTAGAGTATTTACTCATTGAACTTTAAGGCTCGACTATTAGGAGTCCAAATTTATCTGTATCACTCATTTTAATTATGATTTATTATAGACTTACGATTAAAAGAAACTTTAGGGCCTTCAAAAAGTCTATAAAGTTGTATTTTTGTTCTATGTTTTTTCAAATTATTTCCATTTTATTGTGTATTTGAGCTGTGACTGAAGTCGATGAAACAGAAGTCTACTTTTTTAATTTCATTTCTATTTTCTTTGTCGAGACACGGTTGAGGCTGTATTTAGGCTATAGACCTTAACGGCCTTCCTGAAGAACACTTACATCGTACAGCCAGAATATTCAGGCAGGCAAGAGAAGCACCTCAATCAGCTCGTGGTAATACCAAAGCTTGGAGGGTAGAATTAGATACCAAAGAACGATGGGAAAATCCGCTGATGGGTTGGTGCAGCACGTAAGCTTTTTAGTAACCGGAAAACTCACATTCGTATCTTTGCCTCATATTTTTTATTTTGAAGTGGGATAAAAACCAAGAGGTAACATTATTAGTTTGCTATTAGAATTGACTTAAACCATCTATATATAAAGTGTGAATAGTTTTGCTGCATTTACGGTAGAAGTAGCAGAGAATATTATAGAATTTTGTGACCTAGTCATGTTTAACTTTTTAAGAACTTTATTAGGTTTTAATGGCATCATTATCTGTGTAAATGCTGCTCTAATGCATAAAAGTTTCGGAAGAAAGTGCTGGCTATGTTTGGTGAGTTAAAGAATCATTAATGAGGGGGAATAGTTTTTTTTCAAGATTATAGTAGTGGAGAGTTTTAAGAATTTTGGCAAAATCATTCCTTTTCAGCCTTGTTTTTTAAACGGTTTTTCAGAGCGGATCCTCTGAGCAACATTGAGATGGGACTGAAATTTGCATCGAAAGAGAGTGCTATCTCTTTTTGCGAAAAAGTCGGTTGGGATTACGAAGTAGAGGAATTTGCTGAGCCGGAAATAAAACCGAAGAACTATGGTGAAAATTTTGCTTGGGATAAACGGACGCGTGTTTCTACAAAATAATGCTTTTCATGCACCTCTGCATTAGTTTCTTTTGTACAATTGATCGGACTGATCAGTTCAGTAGCTTACAATCCTTTGAGATTGGCACAAGGTCATACGTCTCGATATTCTATGCTTATAGGGTTGAACTGGTCTACAGTTAGGGCTTAAAATGTTCCGTTTTCATGTTTTATAACAGAGGCTAACTTTGAGCAAATGAAGATAATTTAGCCGATTATGTCTTGGGTTTGTCGTTCAAGTATAATATATTTACTAATTTTACTGCGAATTCAATAAAATGTTTCAAATTTCTCAGCCGCAGAACACTGCCAAGCAGGAACTTGTCGTTACCTCAAAGTTGTATTTAATCGTCCAAAGCCTCGATTGTTTCACAAATCCCTTCGATCCTTTCACGAGTCCAGAAATACTAGTTGCAGAGTCTGCATGTCACTAGTTTTCGAGAGTTCCGTACAAGCAGGAGCTAGAAGAGATGCTGGCACTATACAAAAACTGCTAGACGAGAATGCCGTGTTAATTCAAACAATCGTCCGTTACCAGCGGGCAGGAAGGTGGGCGCCGACATTGTTTGCAAAAATTTTGTTTCTAAACCTTTCGGTCAGTTGTCTCTTGTTCTACCTCAACTAGATAGTTTCTTTAAGAGTCAGAGACGCTTTGCGATACCAGCAATTACTACATCGTAATTTGGTCTACTTGGCTTCCCTTTCGGATGAGGCGGCACTGAAGGAAGAATTAGAAATTAGTTCGGGAGTAAGCGTAACCGATATATAAGTTCTACGTATTTGCAGCAGCATGCTGTTTTTCGAAATTTAAAGAGAAGAGCTAGTTAATTTCTTTACGATTAAAAACAATCATTTTCAGAAAAAAAATGTAGAAGAAGAGCACCCTAAAGGTGACGCAGTAGAACGCAAGTAACCACCTCATGGCCACAAAATCAGTTTGGAACTGGCAAATGAACAAGTGTCTGTAAATAATGCAACGGATTACTGAAACTGAGTTACTAAAAACCGCAATAAAACGAGATACACAGGGTGGTTTACATCGTTGAAAAAACCTTTATCAAAGAAAAAAAAGTAGACCCAAATTCAAATTTGAGCTTCAATGCAACAAAAATTGAAGTTATTAAAATAGTTGGAATTACATAGACGATAATTACAGCAAATTATGGCAACATACTCATCATCTGCAGTCCTTAATTGTACTTCGGGAAACAATTTATTGCCAAAAACCGAAACCGGCTACTCAAACTGCCGCATTTTAAAATAATCTTGATTGAAGTGTATAACGATTATGGTAATGTCATCCCTGTAATTCCGAGCAATGCCAGTGGGAAGATGCAGTAAACTTGATAGGCGTTTGTAGCGATGTTCAAGGCCTCCAGAGCAACCTCCTAGGGCGTGACGCAGCACATGGGTCGCACTGTTACTATCTAAGGGTTTCTTGCTTTCTCCTACAGCACGCTGTTTAAGTTCCTCGTTCACCTATGTTAGGTTCTGAATAAACTCTAAGGTCCAATAATTAACATCCAATTGGTGTGAAATTTATCCAGGGAAAAAATGAAATGCAGCATGTGTCACTCCCCTTATTACAAACAACAACACTTTAAGAGAATAGCCAGCGAGAACTTGGAGCAGTACCTATAAAGACTTCAGAAAGGCGACATCTAGACAGTTCCAGTGTCTACTTTCAGCTGTCGTACAGCGCTATGAACTCAGCTACGAGATTAAAAGTTATCAGGCACAAACCTGTAGCGTACCAAAGCAGTTAAATACCAAGGCACCTAGACGCCAGACATAAAAACATAGGAATTACTTTTCAGAATTCCCTTAACGGGCATGAACTATGGTGGTAAAAGTAACCATAATGCTCCAACTTCCCAACGGCAAAAATGTAAAAAAATCAAAGTAAAGAACCCTGAAGATCCTTGACAATCCTTGACACAAAAACTTAACTTTATTTTTTTGTTGCAAGAACAGTTCCAGTTTCTTAAAGAACCCTTGTTTCGGAAAATTCAAGATAAAACTCGAAACCCGATTAACAAAAAAGAGTAGGGAATTAAAGTTCTGAACATTTTTATTTGGAACAACTGTAGGCTAAAACTTCGACGCTTTTGAAATCAGAATAGAGAAATGCTCAGTTTCGTAACAAAACGTAGCTGCACCATGCATTTGCTTCGCTTAGTTCATCAACTGTATAGTAACCCTGCTTAGTAAGAAAAGTTAAAGTATGTCAGAAACCAAACTTGAGATAGTAAAGACCCTTGGGGTGGTTGATAAGGTGTCAACGTCTGTGCGCCGAGTTGGTGGTCAAAAACTAATCGTACAACAGTGTCCGGATCTAACCACTCCCATAATCCATCCGACGCTAACACTAAGAACTGATCGTTAGAAGTTAAGCGATGATAAAGCACCTAAAGTTGACATTTCTACAAACAAAATATCAATTTAGTTAGGAAGATAATTAGTAAGCATACCTCTGGCTCTGCATTTAAATATGGAGGCGTTCTAATACCTACAGGTGGAACTTCACCAAAAGGTCTCAATACTCTATCCTGTATATCTGTTGGCCACTTGTATCGAGCATCGCCAAAAGCACGCAAAGGATATAATTCTCCAAAAAGTCTGCCACCTTGCAGAACTGTTCCTGTTTCAGCAACTGGATGAGCAGCGTATACTCTTTTAGTCTAAGGAATCAAATGCTAAATATTTCGGACAAAAGAGGAATGTATCTTCACCTTAAACAAACCTAGAATCATAACTGACCTTAGGAATAACTGACCTCATCCGCGTTATCGACACAATGAGGTCTCGAAAGGCGTCGAGCCGACACGTGGCCATGATTACAAACTCCCAGAACAGCTGCACTGTCACCAACATTTGCAATATGTACATGATCATAACGTAAGTGGACAACAATGCCACAGCTTCCAGACGTTACTACTTTGACGCGATTTCTAAACCCTACCGATTTAGAAAAAAGTGACAAGCCTACAAGCTTAAGAAGTTCACAAAGGTAAATGGCGAAAATTATTTGATACTGAGCAACCTAGATAACCGCCCATCCTGAACAACCAAAGCTTCTGTTAGAAAATCATTGTCTAAAGCGCAGAACGCAGTCTCCAGCGATTTCCTAACAGTAGTTATGCTCGTATTCTGCCGAAAAGCACGGTGAAACTTCTGAACGTTGTTCCAGTGTTCTTCTCTAAAAATAAAGATTCAAACTCACTTATTCAAATGACTAAAAGAAACACCCTGACATTAAAAAATAGCCACTATAACAGTAAAAACAATAACCTATCATAGCCGTTAAAATCAGCAAAACTTGAAAACAACCACTTAATGCGATTTTCCAAAGGTAAGTCGTTTACTATATGTTTTGGCAGTACGGAAGCTCCTATATAATCATAAAGCTGCATTGCAACATGACGGCTACAAGACGTGCCGGCATGCCCATCAAATACTCCTTAAATCATTTACCGAACTGTCGCGGTGTATAATGCTTTTAATCTAGTGCCAATACTGTATCTAATCAAATATTAAAGAAATCATTTTTTTTTTTTTTTTCAATGCAGATGCATTATGAAGAACTAGAAAAAACCTAAAATTTAAAAAAAAAATTACGAGGATGATCTATACCAAACAGATAAGCATCTGATGTAAGACATTTTGCTGAAGCGTAATGATCCTCAGTAGGCCGATTTGCTGGTAGATGTGCAATATCGACTTTAGTCAGTGCATCGGAACCAATAATGCATTCTTTTTCACCAGCCCTTAACAAAGCATCTGCATTTGCGTAAGCCGCACGAATATACCGCCGAATTTGGCGGTACAAGCTCGTCCCCATATCGCAAAAAATTGCTATAACCACCACTCTTCTATACTGAAATTGCTCATTTCCCATCAAATGTAATGAAGAAGTGACGTGCATACGCAAAAAAACTAGGAACACCACATTAAGGATGCGATCAAGTGAACGACAGAGTGGTAAATACAGCAATTTCTCAGTTACATGAACCTTAAGAAAAACCAACCAACTAACCACTGAAACATCTTCTAGGTTCATTTTAGAAAAAAAAAAAAAACATGCACGTCTTTTGCTCCCCAAAAAT